ATCGTAAATCTACGAGGACGTCACGTAGGTAGGGAAAATTCGTAGTGGTCTCCAAGCTTGGAAGCTGCTGCTCAAACCCCTTCGCGGCTGATTGGAATGAAGCCCCCAGGTGCGGCTTCTTCCGCACATCACGTGCAGATAACGATCTTATCATGCTCGGTCCACCTTTATGTCCGAATGGCAAAAGCAGTCTTTCTTCCTCTCAAATTGCGCCGACAGCTTAGTATTAATGCTGCAAACTTGACAATATGTGGAGTTTCCTCGCGCCTCTGCAGTCACTTACAGTCCGATTTGGCCGTTTCTGTTTCGCAAGGTTGAATGTCTTCTTGGCAACGTTATTGTTTTATTTTCTTTGAATAAGATGAAACGATGCTTTCACCTGGATGGATTAACTAAAACCTCGAGCTTTACGATTTCGGGTCACTGTGTGGACAGGCAGAAGGGTGTTGAGTTTGGTTCGCACAATGACTGGTCTTTCAAAATAGCTCCCTTGTGAATTCTTGATGTATTTTAATCTTGAACTTTCTCTTCTGCGTAGCATGACTTCCGATCGATTCCGATTGTTTGCCTGAACTGTGTAGGTGGGTGCCTTGAAGAAGTGATAAACATTATTGTATGTCTTGTATTCTACCGCGTCGTTTGGATATTCGTTTACTATTCTTCGCTGATCATTCATCTACCTATTCATCCACGCTTTGATTGCCGATTCATCAAACAAAAGCAAAAGCTAATAACTCAGCAAAAGCTCAGCCCCCTGTAGGGAGCTTACGAAAGATCCGAGGAGACTCTTACCAGCCTCAAGTGTAACGATGCAAGGATTTTTACAAGTAGAAAACGGGACTCGAACCCGCGACCCATAGGAGCGAGGCAATTCAGAACGAGCTAACATTCCCCGCCACACCACGGGCCTTGGTGACGATAATAAACAGATTTGTATCCTATAGAGGGTATTGGGGTGGCCGTTCCAGCGGACTCTCGCTCATGGCTCATAGCTCATAGGGAAGTCTGACTACGGTACCTTAGGCATAGTTCCGTACCGCCTTGATAATCCACTGTGTGCGATGGTTACTCACAGCCCGACAAGGTAAACCGTACGGGATGTTAAAGAAAGCATTGGGATCACATACCACTTCGCCATTGGCAACAGTACTCGCTACACTTACTACCTCAATATTACCAGGCTGGATCTAAACTATTCGTCAGTTTCCCAATATCGACATGATTGATAACAAAACAGAAAAGGAAAGAAAGGGACAGCATGGTATCGACTTACGAACTTAACACCGTCCTTGGTCTCCCACCACACATCCCTATCATCACCAATCGTCTTGGCCTTTGTATTCTCGGGCCACGGGCTCACGCCAACCATGTGCGCCTCAACAAACCGCTGAATGTTCCTCTGCGCCTTATCCCTGCCGTCGTCGCCCTCGTAGGCGTCGGCGCCGAGCTGCTGGTAGTCGCGGGGATCCTCCCACGGTTTCCGCGGCAGCTTCTCGACGGCCGAGTTGAGGGGCGCCAGCACGGTGGTGTTGCGCCCTTGGTCGTCGAGGCGGCGCGAGGCGGATTCGATGTCGCGCGTGAAGCCGGCGAAGACGTTGATGCTCCGGTCACGGCCCATTACGTCGGAGAGCCTCACGCCTCCTCCTCCTCCTCCGTCTTGGCCCGGGCCGGAAGAGGAGGGGGTGTCTGAGGGCGGCGGTGGTGGCATGGCTGGACCGGGGGCGGGGTCTACGGATTCTACGATGGGTTTCTGGCGGAAGAAGCGGGGTGCGTATCCGTTGAGGCCGGAGCGTTCGACGGGGAGGGATCTGAGCTGGGCCGTCACTACGGTGCAGGTCAAGAGAAGTATTATGGCAGTGGGCCGTCTCATTATGCTTCTTGTTCTTTGGGAATGGGGAATTTGTGTATCGAATTAAGATTCCCGTCGTCGCAGTTCAGGAATGCAGCAATGCAGTCGCACTTGCCTTGGAAACTACTACACTGATGGCGCGCGTCACTTTCACGTTGGATGCGGCTTCGCGGCCTTGGATTTTCCCCACGGGACCAGATTTTTGGAAATCTAAGGGCGACGATTGGCTGCATGATAGGATGACATCACCCATGCTCCGATGCTGCGCAGGGCGGTGCTCTCCGCCAGCAGGAACACCTGCGACTCGTTTGTGGTAAGGTGCCTTGCTCGCTGTAAGGCACACCAAACCAGCAGCAAAAGCGCAACCGCCTCACACCACGTGATGCTCGATCAACGAGGCAAGTCGCAAAACGCTTACTTTCCGAAGATGCCTTTACGATGCGGAAGCGAGTTCTATCTTTCATTCCTGCGTTGCCGACGGATGAGCGCACTCGCCGAGATGCACCGAAGACGGCAGCCCAATAACCCCAGGTATTCTCTACTATTTTGTCTCACAGAAGGGAGCGATTGCGGAGACGGGCAGCCGTTCCCCACACTTTTCTCAATCCGCGGGTTTCCTTATGGCACAGGTGAGTTGAGGTGAGGATGCGCGAAACGGCAGTCGGGCAGTCGGGAATTATTGCTGCATTTGAACGAGAAAGACTGGCTGGGAGAGCCCTATGCCTCAGCAATCAGCGACCAAAAAACGATGCAAGGCCACCACTAGCAATTGTACCAATAGTTTAGTTTTTATTATCCTCAGGATTCAATAAAGCCTCTCATGAATCATGAGAGGCTGAATTGGAAACCAAGTCGATGGGATAGGTGGCAAGTTTCTGTATGGGGGGGGGGGGGGGGGGTTTACGGTCAAAGAAGCTTGAGCACCTGACACATCTAGGCTTTTGCTCCGTCCTGACGCTTTCCCCCAAGAATGCCCCCTTTCACATGCGAAAAAAAAGATGTACGGCCTGGGTTCCCCAGACCAGCCCAGTCAGCCCAGTACCAGCCCCCAAGCACGACTCCAAAAAAGAAGTCCTTGGAGCCGGAAATGGCCCGTGAGAGGAAGGGGATTTCTACTGTACTACTGTGTATTCGACTATATTCGTACGAGTGCGGAGGAACAAGCTGGACTGGAATGCAGGCCGAAAGTGGTCGCCCAGCAGCGGCAAGGGAAAAGAGGGGACGGCAATGCGAGTAGATCCTCGGTCAGGTGCTAAAAGTTCCGGACCGGTCAATCATCTGACCTGCACCTCTTGTGTGGGGGATTAGGTGGGAGGGGGCCTAGTGAGACTACGGTATCTACAGTCCTACACAGTACGTGGTGGCTATGCCTCTCTCGCACGTAGCTACACTCGTGAAGATTCGACGGCGTCTTGAGAATTGCGCTCGGCCAGCCGCAGCCTCAATGCAGCCGCACAGTCTTGAGGGGCAGAAGGGGCTGGAGAAGGGTTTTGGAACGTGTCCCATGGCATGGGCATCGCAGGCGGCGGGTTTATGCCCGTGAAAGATGTCGATTACCCGTTCACCTTGTTGACACGAGGCATGTGGTACGCACCCAAGGTTGTGGGGAGAGTGGGAAGGCGACGGGACGCCAATTGCTGGTTAGAGATTCGACGGCAGACGTTTAGTTTTGGCAGCCTCTCAGACGGGAAGACAGGCGGTTCGAGGTTCAGTCAGCTGCATGAGCTCGAGCACGAGGGTAAGCCCGTGACCTTGGATGCACCTTGGGTGGAAATGGTAAAGTAGTGGCCTTCACATGTCAGAGGCAAACGATGGACGGCTCGAAAAGTCCTGAAACTGTCACAAAATTCTTCGTGGCCTTTTCTGCGGCAGCTTACTCCAACAATTTGACTCGTGAAAGTGTACTTACCTACACAGTTGGAGCTAAGGCTGGCGCAGGCGTGGCAGGTGAACCGGTCTGTCATCCCTTCTCGAGAGAGCCTCAATTGCATCTTTTGAGGTTTTTGGGTCAAACGTCTTCAACATGTCTAGGTACTGTGTAATGCCCTCTCTTCCGTTGGTCAGTTCGGTAAACGGAGCGCAGAGGTACCTCAGTAATAGACGGGGAACCTTTAGTAGCCAGACGGGGAATTCGAGACTTTTAGAACATCCCCCACAGTTTCCCCCAGTTTTGCAGGTCGCGGTCCACCACCGAGGAAAGCGAACGCGGGCCCAGTCTCGGCCAGAATTACTGCGAGAAGCCAACGACTGTCTGGGGTCTCTTCATGCTAGAGGAGCAGTTCAGTTGCAATGCCCTCCGCAGACCGGACGCAATTGCCTGTTCGTAGTTGACAGACACAACATGGAGGAAACTTTTCTCACGATGCGCAGTTGGGGAAATAAACTGCACATGGAAGACAAGACTCAATTGAGATTCCATCTCTCTCGTCGCTCTCGGCTTCCCCACACCTGTACCTAAGAAAAAAAAGGTGTCCCATTGTTCCTCGGACCACTGCCACCGCTTGACCAAAAGGCTCATTCTTACTGGTACGTTCATCTGCCTCCCCCCGTTTAGTGACGCCAATTCTCCTCCCCCAGGGCCCCAGACCGTCCCTTTCCCCGACCCCCAACTCTGAGTCTCTGACCCAAACTCGGCCCAAAACTCACTAGCACCGCGGGCAAGCCCAGTCGTGGACTCGTGTGCCATGGAAGTCCCCAGTGCGAAGTTGCCCCCCCCTGGTTTCTGCTTTTCCCACCGGCGCTTCGACCTCGGCTCACGAATCGCCGTGTCAGCGACCTTTCTGCCAATCCCTCCCATCTGCGCGCACCACCTCACGCAACCAGAACGAGTCGTCTCCGTAAGGTATGTACCACTGTCCCACTGCACCGTACCATACGGTACGAAGTATACCCCCCCAGGTCCCTTGCGGAGCGGATACCACTACCACCTGCACCTGCCTTCGGCCCCAGACCCGCGTCGTCCTTGTGCCTTTGTCCCCATCTTCCCTCGGCGTAGCAACAAGACGAAAGGCACCGCTCCTCTTCTCGTTTTCTTCTTAAACCTCTCCATCCAAACTCTCTTCCTCCCCCACCAACTTTCCTCTTCCCCATCTTCTTTGTTTGTTCTCCATCCTGTCCTCTGGAGCGCATCAATACCATCACATCAATCAAAATGGCACCCAGAGTTATCGTCGTTGGCGGTGGTCGTAAGTTACCTCAACCCCTTCCTGCTCCCACCTCCGCCTCTCAGTCTTACCACTCTCTCTGCCGCGGCCAATCTCGGCCTCGTCTTACCCGCTCACATGCTAATCCGTACTGCCAGTGTCCGGCTTGAGTGCCGCGCATACCATCTACCTCGCAGGAGGCAACGTTGTCGTTCTCGACAAGCAGGGTAAGTCTAATAAACCTATGACTGCCATGCTGCTTGTGATTGTCGCAAAGCTCACGCTCCTACTCTATAGGCTTCTTCGGAGGCAACTCCACAAAGGCCACTTCTGGCATCAACGGTGCCTTGACGCGGACACAGGTCGACACCGGAATTGCCGACAGCGTCAAGCAATTCTATGATGATACCCTCAAGTCTGCTCGTGACAAGGCCCGCCCCGACCTCATCAAGGTCCTTACCTACAAGTCCGCTGCCGCCGTCGAGTGGCTTCAGGATGTCTTCAACCTGGACCTTACTCTCGTTTCGCGGTTAGGGTAAGTCGATCGCAGAAGCCCAATGTACAAGGTTCCTCCGGTTCTAACCTATCCTACAGAGGTCACTCCCAGCCCCGTACCCACCGTGGTCACGATGCCAAGTTCCCTGGTATGGCCATCACATATGCGCTCATGCAGAGACTCGAGGAGCTCGCCGAGACCGAGCCCGAGCGTGTCGAGATCATCAAGAAGGCCCGCGTTACCGGCCTGAACAAGGACGGCAACACCATCACTGGTGTTTCATACGAGTTCAACGGCGAGGAGCAAAAGGTTGACGGACCCGTCATTCTTGCCACCGGTGGTTACGCTGCCGACTTTGGCGAGACCTCCCTACTCAAGAAGCACCGTCCCGATACCTTCGGCCTCGCCACCACCAACGGCACCCACGCCACTGGTGACGGTCAGAAGATGGTCATGGCCATCGGCGGTAACGGTATTGACATGGACAAGGTCCAGGTCCATCCTACCGGTCTGGTTGACCCTAAGGACCCCGGCTCCAAGTGGAAGTTCTTGGCTGCTGAGGCCCTTCGTGGTGAGGGCGGTCTCCTTCTCAACGCCGACGGTGACCGTTTCTGCGATGAGCTTGGCCACCGTGACTACGTCTCCGGCATGATGTGGAAGGAGAAGGACAAGAACAAGTTCCCTATCAGACTCATCCTCAACTCCAAGGCCTCTAAGGTCCTTGACTTCCACACTCGCCACTACTCTGGTCGTGGTCTGATGAAGAAGATGACCGGTGCCGAGCTGGCCAAGGAAATTGGCTGCTCCCCCGACCACCTCCAGAAGACCTTCACCACCTACAACGCCATTGCCGATGGCAAGCAGAAGGACCCTTGGGGCAAGAAGTTCTTCCACAACCTGCCCGTCGACATCAACGATGACTTCCACGTCGCGCTGATGGAGCCTGTTCTCCACTTCACCATGGGTGGTATCGAGATCAACGACAAGGCCCAGGTCTTGAACAGCGAGCAGAAGCCCTTTGACGGTCTGTTCGCCTGCGGTGAGCTTGCTGGTGGCGTTCACGGTGCCAACCGTCTCGGTGGTTCTTCCCTACTTGGCTGTGTCGTTTACGGCCGTGTTGCCGGTGACACCGCTAGCAACTACCTCTTCCAGCAGGCTCTTAACGGCGTAGGAGGTGCCACCTCCCGTCTCGGCCAGATCTCACTGCACCTGGACCCCGCCCAGCCTGGTCGCGTCACGATCGACTGGAACAACGGTGGTGGCTCCGGTGGCCAGGGTATCCCTGCCCAGCAGACCACATCGGCCGCCGGCCCCACGCCCGAGAAGGCGGACGGCCAGAAGGCTTCCAAGCCCAACAACCCCAAGGAGTTTTCCGTTCCCGAGAAGGAGTTCTCTATGGAGGAGGTTGCCAAGCACAACACCAAGGAGGACCTGTGGGTCGTCGTCAAGGGTGTTGTGATGGATCTCTCAAACTGGCTCGAGGAGCACCCCGGTGGACCCCAGGCCATCATGAACTTCATGGGCCGCGACGCCACCGAGGAGTTTGAGATGCTGCACGACGACGAGGTTATCCCCAAGTACGCACCACAGCAGGTGATTGGCCGCGTCAAGGGCCAGACGCCGAGTTTGGAGCTGTAAATTTTGAGACGATCATCTACGACGAGCGCACGACGGAATCTTGGCTTTGGGTAAAACAGTGATAACCGGAGTAACGGGTGCGCATTGGCGCGCTTTTTTGAATTTGGGCATTTTTCTCACATCTCGGGAATGTATTCATAGATACATGTTGTAGTCTCTTGGATTCAATGGAACTCCAAACTCTCTGTTCACTTGATCGTCTCTTCTCCATGTGATGTTTGTGATGCCCTTGCATGTCGTCCTAGAGGTCGAAGCTAGTAGCTATCAAAAAGCACGACCAATGGAGAGATAGGGTAATTTATTCGAGACAGACGATAATTGTACACCACCCCTTCGCCCTCTGCAGTTCAACGTTGCCTCTGGATTTTCGCGGCTTTTTACTCCACACATGTCAGAATCGCGACGGGGCATCTCTTGCTCACCGGACGATGACAACGGCAAACAAGGAATCTGCACTTGGACTAATTTGTTTTTCACCAGCCTCATCACCGCTATCTACCTTGATATGGCCCGCACCCAGCTGGCTACATACACAACCACTCGTTACAGGCTCGTCCGATCTATCTTAACTCCTTCTCTCAAGACGTTTCTTCGGTCTCCTCCTTATCCTTGAGGGGCTTTCTCGCATGGATGACATAGCTATACATTCATCAGCACCGTCAAAAGACTGAGGGAGCAGGGGGAAACACTTACACAGGGATATACGCATGTATACCCCTATCCTTCAACTCCTTCCTCACACTAATCAAAAACACATTGACCTCCTCTTTAGTCCACTCAAGCGCCCTCGTAAAGGGCGCCATGCTGAACCCTTCGAGCCCTTCCATCCAGTTCTCTAGGCACCAGATACCCAGCTCGCGGTAGTGCGGGTCCTTTGGCCACGAGTTGATGGGCCACTTGAATTTGGTGATTGTGACGTCCTCGAAGCCGACCTCCTCGAGGAGGGGCTTGAGGCCCGGGCAGTCGATGTAAGGGCGGCCGAAGATGTTGCAGGCCTCCTCGAGCTTGTCTACCCATTCTAGTAGGGGGCTGTCGGGCTTGAGGGTGCCGTCGTCGCATTCGGGGCGCATATGGCCTTCTTGGAGCTCTAGGTAGCCGCCTGGCTCGAGGTTACTGTTGGGATTGTAGAGTGTGGTCAGTTACCTTTCCAAGTTCTTTGTTTGGAAACAGCAGCAACTCTATCGACCAGTATGAGAGCGGTCTTGGTCGCAGAATTTGATTCGCTTACTCGTATGATTGTTGGAAGAACTTCTTCCAGTCGGAGATGCTTGAGGTCATGATGCGTGTGTGGATATAGTCAAACTTTCTGCTGTACGTCCACGGTTCCTCGACATCATCGACCTCGAACTTTACGTTTGGCGGAACACTGAGGTTGAAGGATTATTAGTACGAGTGCCCATTCAAGGTAGTAGGAGGAAACCGTACAATGCTGTCGGAGCCGGTGACAGATCGATACCAAGAACCTAAAAGCACGAAAAGATTTAGCACCCAAACCCGACTCATCGGGGGAAGAAGAAGATCCAAAGCAGATGCAAGGCCAGGCCAGTTTCATTCTACGTACCTCGGCATCGGGATGCTCATCACCAAATTCAATGCACCAAAGCCCGGTACCGGTACCAACGTCCAGAACACGCTTGACCTTGGACTCGAGCTGGGCCGGCGGCGCGAGACCGAGCTTGTAGTCCAGCGTGAGGAGGAAGATGTTGTGCTGAAGGTCTGAGAAGAGAAAGTACCATTAGCCCTTTGGGACCCAGGAACAAGAACACACTAAAATATGCTCTGCAAAGGAAGGAGCTCTTGCCTAGCCGGTCATGTTCCTTTTCATCGTTAGGATAGACGTATTCTTCAGAAATCTTTGTCAGTACCAGAAAAAAGGTTGGATGGGACCATGAAGAGGGAACGTCTTACGGCCATCTTTGTAGCGGTGGTATGTTCTGCCGTTCTCGAGGCGGTGGTTCAGGATTGAGCTTGCCAAGCTTGTGCTGGAAGACGCGATGCTCTACGAAGGGGAACAGAAATGGGGATCAGCAAAGAAGACATTTCGTGGTTTTTCTTGCATCTTCAAGGAGAGGGCTTGGTCTCCTTACAGTTGCCCGATCCGACGAGCTGTCATCGGCACTCTGAAATAGGTCGTCAGCAAGTCTGGAGAAAATGAAATGATCAAACAGGTCCTGGCTAAGAAAAAGTACTCACAAAGTCTTCATCGGCCACAATGACTGGGCCATCGTCTGCGGGTTCCTGCTGGTCGTTGCACATGGTCGCCGTGTTTTATGCTATGTTTCTTGCAATGAGACAACAAAGGACAGAGGGACAACAAAAAGACAAGAGAGGGGAATGCGACATGAAGAACATCTAGAAAGCCCCCCAGTTGTTTTTATCATCTCTCATGTGGAACGACCATGTTCTGTTTGCATAACCCCTCTTTCTTGGTTGGAAACCGCATCATGCACGTTGGTGGCAAAGGCGATTCGTTGGTGGAGACAATATGTGCCTTCCGAGTTCCAACAACATGGGTCCGCGAGCGCATTAGGAAACTACCAATGTGTCCCGAGGTACGTTGGACGAGGAGCATATCTCCAACGGGCAATTGTTGGTCGGACTTCCTTCCAGTAGTGGCTAAAGAGCCTCGTCATTCGTCACCGTCGCGATCCTCGACCTGATAAGTAAGTGAGAACATCACTGCTTGCTCGAATGCGAGAGGACAAATGTAGAGTTGATATTGTATGGCGTTGGGCAAAAAATACACATTCTTTTCTCCCTTTACTGAACTTGCACAAAATTAGCGCCGTATTACTGCTTAAAGATTTCGATCCCTCAGTAGATGGTGGAAAGTAGGGCGAGTGTGATCGATTTCTCGCCATTGTCGTCGTCGCGGCCATCGCGATCATCTCTCGTATCATAGCCGAGGCCCTCTGCCCCATAACCATTTACGAATCCTGTCAAATTCTTACCAGCCACACCGTTCTAAACAAAGCACGAATGATGGTCTTCAGCCTTTCATGCGCAAACTAGAAGTTCAAGGGAACCTGTAGAAGCGATAAAGTTGACCGGTCTTGTGCTTGGCATGATCAAGTACCTTGAAGATAGCCATGATACGTGTTATGTCTCCTATTCCATACCTCATTCTTCTCCTTCTTCTTCTCGCCAGAGACAGGCCAAGTCGAAACAATGAACAACGCTGTTAAAACGTCGCTTTGTCATCTAATACAATCTATCATCGACAGCGACAGGCGACTAGAAACCTCTACAGTTGTCAGATATGGTCCAGGCTCTTCATGAGCATGACCACTACAGTTGCGAAGCTGGTACCCAACACCCGCTCCAGAAACCATTCCGATATCCAACGAGGAGCTCACCAACCAGAACTCAAAGATCAAGCAGAAACCCCATTTACAACTTCTCCCAACCCACGACCAGCAACAATGTGCAACATCCAACAATTCATCTGCAACCTATGCGACCGCCCCAAAGCAGTCTCCCTCACCTACTGCAAACCAGTCCTGGATGCCGGCCACATCCCCTATTCGCACGTCCTCATCGAGATCAAAGACACCTTCGTCTGGACGCCCTATGAAGGCTGCGAAGGGCTCACAACCGACCCCGTGGCGGCCCGCTGGATGAAGTGCGGCTCGTTCGACTTTACGGATGACGAGGCTGAGATGGATGAACAGTTTGATGCTGATGATGAGATGAGCGACTAACATGTCGAATCATGACCGACGGCGGTTGGATGGTAGTCCCCGGATTTGGGGGGGAAAGAGAGAGAGAGAGATGACGGCGAGTGATGGCTAGAACACGTATGTGGGTTTCGAGTGCTAGGCTCTAGAAAATTTGGAGGCAACTAGATAAACGTTGGCTGGGCTTTAGAACAATGACAAACAAGGTGGTACTCCTTTCTTTTCTCACTGGGTTCTAAAGTTCACATCAGTTCTTTAACTCAAGGATCAAATCTGCCATTGATATTGTGCGTAATCGGCTTGCTATTCTAGTGGTATCATCTTATTCTGTAACAACCCGCAACGAAAAGGGACGGCAGAAAGGTATTAGGGACTAATGACAGAAAAGGGGGGTTTAGATCCGGCCAGGGATCTGAAAATCGGAGACGTTTGTATCTCGAAGAATTAGAGACCGGAAAAAAAGGTGGCGCTTTTTTAGTCGTATTGATGCTGGATGCTGCAGTCATTCAAAACATACGCAGAGAATCTGAATTTCAAATCGGGAGGTTCAAATGTCGTCCATCAATCTTTAACGGCGGACGGGAGGGGTTCGGGCACCCGTCAAAGGAGGACCTTGGGAGTTCTCCATGTTGCCAGTCAGTTCAGCAACACGCGCCTTAATACGCGCTACGCGGGATTCGATCGCTATACATGGTCAGATCTTGGACGCCAAAGGTTTCTAGTTTCATGGTAAGGCTTACTCTCTTCCCCGCTTGTGTCGTCGCCATCGTCGGTAGTCTTGCTGTATCCGCCGCGGCTCTGTTCTTCGCTCTGGCGTTGAGCTGCGCGATCCGCAGCGTTCTTGCGGATCTGAGCCCATCGGTCGACTGCGGGCGGCGATCTAGGGCCATCCTCGGGAGACACCGGAGCGGACGAGTTGTCCGCAGGAGGTTCGGGGGTCTTCGCGCGTCTTGCGATAGGGGGCGGAACAGCATCCTCGGAGTCGTCGTCGGGGACGAATGCGGGCTGCTCTTGCAGAGGGCCCTGGTCAAACCGCGAGAATTCGTGCCGAGCCTCGTTGGCATCGTCGGTATCGACGCGAGAAAGGGATTCATCAACGGACGGCTCGTACTGCGGCTCGTGAGCTTGGGTCTCAACTGGGGCGGGTTGAGGAGTCTCCATTGGTGTGATGTAAGCCTCTGCAGGTGTTGGTGTGGGGAGATTGGACTCTGAAGCAGCGGGTTGGGGGACAGGAGAAGGAGCAAGCTTTGGCGGCTCGGGAGTTGCTGTCTCGCGCTGGAGCATACCGTTCAAATCTGCGGCGGCATTCTCAGGCAGTTTCGAGTTCCGGTTCTTGTTACGGCCAAAAAGCTTGCGAAGTCCACCTCCACCGGTCTTCTCCTTGTGGAGCTTCTTGGACTTTTTGTCCTTCGGGCTGGTGTCCGGTTCAGGGGTGAACATGTTCTCCCGTGCCTGGTCATATGAGTCCTTCGGCGGGGGCATCGGAGAACTGCGGCCTTCCTCGAGTCGGTCGGTCGGGTGCAGACCACTCGGGGCCTCTGATTCCTTCTCGGATGGAATGCGAGGTTCGTCGTCTTGCGCGCCGGGGGGAAGCGGGGATGGCGAACGAGGGAAACCTGGTGAGCTCTGGGTCAATGGCGAGGGCTGTGGTTGCAGCGAGGGCGACTTGGCCGGGACTTCCGGGCGAAGCTCCGCTCCGTTGGTGTTGCCGTTTGAGTATTCGTTATGGCCTTGACTGTCCTTCCTTTGCATGGTGGAAACACCGATACCGCGCCCAGCAGTGTTGTTCGCCAGGTAGGCCTCCCGAATCGCTTCCTTATCGTACTTGTTTGCCCATTTCATCGCTGGAGACGCCTGACGCATGATTTCTGGCTGGAGGGTGAATACACTGGTGGTCTTCTCTCTCGCCGACTCATCATTCCGGCCTCGGCGAGCCTGCAAAATTTGCTGTTGCTTCTCCTGCTGCTGACGGGCCTGAAGCTGTTGAGCAGCAGCTTGAATCCGAGCCTGTTGATCGGGACCGATGCTCGATTTACTGACATTGGGATCTGTCTTTTTATTGCCCTTCTCAAGAGTATGCTTGCCGGTTGATTTACGGCGGTTGACGCCCTTATTGCGCCTTGTCCAGCTGAAGAATCCCTTCTTTTCGGCAATGTAGGCTCCCTCCTGAGGCTCGGGGGCGGCACCAGCAACCATCTCCTCCATGACGAGCCATCGACCACGTTTAATGGTCGTCTCAATCACGGCGCAGCGGCCAAACGCAGATTTTCTCTCGGGAGTCTCTTCGGGTGCAAGACTGCTCATCCAAACCCACCAGAAGCTCTCGTCGAGGTCAAAGCGGGCAATGCTTGCTAGCTCGCCAGGCTCGAGACGATCCGACTCCAGGCGTGGGTTGTGAGATTGGGAGCTCCGTTGGCGTTGAGCTGTCTCGATGGGCGGCAACTGCTTATCGGGCGGCAGTAGCATGTTCGGGTTGTTTGGGTTGTCATCCACAAAGCCAGACGAGAGGAAATCGGCCCAGGAAGGTGTAGTCGGCCGTCCCAAGCCCATGTTGCCAGCCGCAGGTGTAGTTCTCAAGCCCTGGGGTTTGCGAGCCGCAGCTGCCGCTTCTTGGTCATCGTCGTCGTCGTTGTCCTCGAGAGCGCTGGTGAAGCCAATGTCTTCGAAGCGTGACCAGGATGCGTCGCGCAAACTCGTCGAGTGTTTTGAGCTGGAAACTTGAGACTGATTGGCGGAGGAGATCGATTTCAAGACGCGACGGCATTCTTCCGTCAGTGCCTTTACAGGATCCTCGTACTCGGAAAACTCGCGCAGAGCTTGGTCCTCATCGCGGTACTGGAAGTGATTGGCTCGACGGAGTAGCGCAAAGGGGCCCGGCGAAACGGTGTCCACGATCATAACGACCCTGTATGTAGAGGACTGCATCAATGATGGCTTCTGGGGAGGATACTCGGTTTCCTGAAGCAATTTTTGAAGAGACATTGGCAGCAGCGAGATGGAGCCCTGCGTCTGCTTCTGCGGGGCCAAAGATCGCAGGTAGGCGAAGAACAGATGGCTCGTAGCATCAGCGGCGCTGAAGAATGTTAGTGTTGCTCGACCATCGTGGTAATTTTACTCACCTTGCCCATGCCTTGTAACCACCTTCGAAGCCACTGCCCGTGTCCTTGTGTTCGAACGCCCACCAGGCAGCCGTCCGAGACAATTTCCGTCCGCCCAATCCGTTCATCTTGCTGTGGGCGGCAATTGCAGACATCAAGTCGAAGAAATCGAAAATGATACACGAACGAGCTCCATTATCCACACTCAGAGGGATGAATGTTTTGAACGAGTCCCTCGCCATATTTGAGTCTAATGCGCGGGTCAGCCCATGGTGCCCATGAAATACTCATGTGAAGTGCCGAGTCCGTTTGTGCAACATACCTTGCTCGCCGACTTTGAACAGCTCGTACGCATCCCAGCCTACAACACCGCCTGCAAGGCGACTCCAGCACCATTTAACTACGCCAGCAATGACCTAGTGACATGTAAGTATATCAGTGGTAAATCTGTGTTCAAGATTCACAAACCATTGGCTCAGTCATGCGAAGCTCTTGCGACAAGAATTCGCCGCGCAAAGGTTGGCTTCCATCGAAAAAGTGGCGGATGAAGGTCCGGACCGCACTAGGGTCCGAAGTAGGTCTAAACGGCAGCAGCAAAAAGGGGTGGTCGAGGGCTAGGTTGTGACATGTCAGTACACCGTTGGCGCAATTGGCCGAAGTTCAGAGAAAGGCGACGGTGGGAGCTCAGAGGCAGATGCAAACGACATACCTCTTGCTTTCAGCTCGTCAGTGCAACGCCTGATCAAGTCCTGGATCTCTTCGGGCTCGACCGTCTTCCTCGTGAAAGCGTCGTCCCATTTTGGCTTCGCGGGCAGCTGATCGGCATTGTCAAAGTTGGCGCCCTTTTTTGCCTTTTTGGAGCCGTCCTTGCTCTTCAATCGGGAGAAGAGGCTAGGCATCTTGTCGGTGGACTCTCGCCTCAATCAAGGCGATTGGTGTTTGGAGCGGGGAAAGGCGCGATGCATTCGAGGTTGCGACGGTTGGATAAATGGGCAGGCGCGCCTTCTTTGACGAGGGGCAGGTTACAAGTCGTGTAATCGGAAGTGAGACAGGGAAAGTCAAGAAATCGATGTTGGGTGGACTCGGTCGGTTAAGGAATTGGCCGGGGGGGTTAAGGTAGGTAGTCGCGAGAGGGCCGCGATAGGGGGCGGGAAGTGTGAGTGTGTCGTCGAAAGAGAGAGGTGGGCGCGCGTTTGCTCTTGGTCCAATGTCAATAATACGTCGTTGGAACGGTCCACCACGCGAAGAGATTCCACTAGGAAATTGCGATAGCGGGGGAAACCAACTGCTGAGGGCGAGGGTATCGGGAAACAAAGACGGCGGGGTTCAACGAAACGAAGGGAAATCTCCAGCAAGGGAAAGAATGGTGTTAGGAGAAAAGAAGGGATGGACGGGAAAGGAGAATAAGTGATGATGTTGCAGCTTTGCTTTGGGCACGAGGGAAACCGAAAAGAGAAGAGGCAGCAGCTCTGGTGAGTGTGACCTGTGTGTCTCCCGGCCGGCACTCAGGTTAAAGGCAGGTCCCGTTCTCACCTTACTTCTTTCTCTTTGGCTTTTTCCTAGAATTCAGGGGCGAATGAACAATCGGCGGGCTATTAATTGGAGAAGGAGAGAAATGGTATTATTTGGGGGGTCCCCTGGAGCCTTGGCCTGTCTGCCGGTGCTTGTCTTTTTTATTTTTTTTATTTTTTTTACACCACACTCTACAACTGCCCTCTTCTTGCCTTGCTTTCTTTTTTTTTTTCTGCTCTTCTGTTTTTGATCTGTAGCCCCCAGACCCCCTGTCTTGTTATTTCAAGGTGGGCACAAGTACCTTTTGTGTGACGATCACCGCAGGCGGGTACCTGACTACGACCCTGAAGTGGCAACCCAAAGGGGGATAGCTCTTCATGCAGCGCGTTAGGGGTGTAGCTCTTCCTCAGTCCGTGGGACTCTGTGCAGGCTCTATGGCTCCCAAGAGTCCTTGATGGCTTTTGGCGGCGTCTGGTAGGTTCGCAAGGTCGCTGGCCCGTTGTTTGAGTCTCGACTTGTCGACCGTGGGCGGTTTTTTGGGTGATGCTAGCGGCACCTCAGAATCAGGCACGCCGCCCGCCGTACCGCTGCAACACAGCTTTCCCTCTTCCCCTGCCTTAACGATGGGACTAGGTTGGGAGAGTGGGAGAGGCGGGAGGGGCACGACAGGCCCTGAAATGAAATTAAATCGCTGGAACGAGGATCCTGGTCCTAGCGCCAATGGGCACAGTCGGCGCCAATGAGACAGACCAACAAGATGTTAGCAGCAGAATCGAGTCTCTACGTAGTAAAGCCTACGGAGACAGTCAACGCCGTCGACCTTTCTCTCGCCGGGCTCGCCCCAGGCACTGTGGCCGAGGCCCTGTCAGTTCGACCGAGTCCTGAATCAGTCTGTACCGTAGATGGGTGACCACGGGGCAGACGTATCACCGCGGTGGGGGAGAGGCTGTTGGTGGCTGAGGACTAAGATCTCAGGCGACAATAATAGCATCACTCGGAGCAAACGGTAGAAGCGTTGCGGCGCCCGGACAACTTTCAGAGGCACCGAGAGAACCGGCCATGATAAGTTGGAGTGGAGGAGATGGAAAGGCTTCGGCGACGAGGATAGAAGGCAAGACGATGCGCGGAAGTTGGAACACTGGACGACCAAAACCAGAGACGACGCGCAATGTGTGATACTAGGTTCAGTGCTTTTAGAGCTAATGCAGAGTATGCAATGCCTGTTGCCGCTGCTGGTGCTCAGAGTAAGAAAACCTCAGATGGCCAAAGACAATGTAGCAAATCCGGCGTCGGTATCGGCTTCTTCATCGATAGACCGGACGAAACAAGTCGAGGGAGGGAAGGGAAGCGTGCCTTATCAAAAGTGTGCTTCTTTGGTGTCCCGGAAGGCTTTTCCCGTCAAGCAGACAAAGGGTTGATCTCAATGATCCAAGTCGTCTACCTAATATGTGTAGTCGGTACCCAAGGCCTCCTTGCTCGTATACACCCTTTCTCGTGAGATATTACCGGCCATGCCTGGTTGAGTCCATGAATGAGGTGAGACAAGTTGTCTTTGCTGCTTGTTGCTTGGTCCGGGCAAGCGTGGGAACCCCGTCAGTCGTCCGCACCTTAATTGAGCCCCCCCCTAGCACCCATTAGCTCCGTTCGCCCTACGCACCTTTTTGGTGTCTTCCTCACTGCTTGGCTCTCAAGCAGCTTGGCAGCCAGGCTTACCAGGGTACTTAATTGATTGATTCTTAGCTTGAACTGTAGTGGTTGCTGGTGATATTGAGGCTTTCGGGATACATGCCAATGGTGTTACTTGTACAGAGCACTTGGCCTTGCTGTGGAAAGAAAAGGAAAGAAGGGGAGGGAAAGATGAGATGAGATGCAAAAGACACAATTGAAAGAGCCTCGAGCAATGTTCAACACCTTCAGGTAGGTAGAGAGGTAGGTACCCTTTGATGAGGTGGTTTCTGCCATCGCTCCTCCCTTTCCCGGGGCCGCTTTACGGTTTACCTCGCTCCTTCCACATGGCGCCGCAACCCAGTGGGGGTGGGCCCTGTCTCGTTTCGGAGCGACTTCCATCTGCCTCGCCTGCTGCGGGTAGATCCTTCAGGCTTCACCTCTGCAAAGCTGTATCCGTCGAGGCAGCTAGGTAGGTACGGATACGGATACAGTTTTCATCTCTTCTCTGTCTGCCATCCATTGCTTGTCTTCGCCGACATCCCCTAGCCCAAACAAATCCACAAGCACATCTGCATCTTCTACCTCATCCCTTGATATACATCCACGATGCCAATGTACCCCGCGTGCCCGCCAGCCCACTCAATCAACCGTTGAAGCGTTGGTGTCATTCGAGGCATACCTAACATAAAGCAGATTTCAGCCCGTATCCACGCCTCCTAGCATCGGTACCACCGCCACGGCTCATCTCTCCAACGGCTATGTGTCGCACTCGTCATTTCGTGTCTCACGGTACCTTGGAAAGCAACAAGGTATGACTACAGATACTTAGACGGCGAGACGCGTCTCGAACCCGCCGCTCGCTTGGTTGATGTTCCGGCGCCCGCCCGACCGCCCCACCACAGATCCCCGGCCAGACACGATGCGGAACCATTGTGCCTCAGTTGATGGAATTCAATTGATGCAGAAGAAACAGAATCGCGACTGACATTCGAGAAAGAAATTCACAAACAAGAAACCCGCCCCGCCGCCACGCCGGCTCAAAAGCCCACGGCCGACCGCTCACAAAGGTCCGCAAGGGACGCCACACCATCCGTGGTGGTCCAGAAAAGCCCACAGCTCAGAGTAATCTATCTCCGGGCCGCCCAATCTGCTTCTCCCTTCTTTCCTCAGCTCGCCGTCAATGCCAATAATAGGTCGAGGATGATCCTACGTTTGGTCACTTGGTCGCGCATGAGTTGGCCGGTGCCAGCACATCCTCGTCGTCACCTCCTCCATACAGAACCGGGTCTTGCACACATCCACCGTGCCGAGCACCCCGCCAGAACAAGTCATTGGCTGTGACCCGTGCGCTTGATCGTCGTGTGCTGGCATCCGTCTAGGGGTACTGTCAAAGCCTGACGAACAGCAACCTCCTCATCACTTGCATTGGGCATCGTGTGCGTCACCGATCTCTCCGACCTCAGCAAATGCTGTGCAGATGGCACTCGCTACCAAATATCCGTATGCTCTTCCCATGGCCGCATATTCGGATGTTTGGCCAAGTAGCCTCGAAATGGATACAGAGTACGGACACAGTCGCTCTTGACAGATCACTATGACACGATTGTGATAATACCACGCGGAAGCGGAAGCGGGCCAGCATGGCACGTTACGTTCATTGGCATGATGATGGGCTCCCTCAAACCACCCGTCGGCGAGTGCGGCGACGCTCGAGCCTCCAACTGCGTCCTTCCCATTCCATCCCCTTGGGGATTTGTCCTGGCCAGCCTGGTACCTGCGCATGAACACACCTTCAAGGGGCTCAAGGACCTGCTTGCCTCCTCACGTTTGCTCCGTGGGCTCTGAGTGGCCAGGTTGAGATGCGAAACTCTCCTCTGGGCCTACCTGGATGAATATTGGGTGCGTTGCCGATCGATCAACGTCAGAAATGTCTGTTCGAACCCCACCAATATGGCCAACTCAATTATCGGACGATGTCTCTAGGCTGAAGGGCATTAAAGGGAGGGACGCCGTCATTGACAAACGTTAATAACTGCGGCCACCATCCATTGAGATGGGATCCGCCAGGAGCCAAGATGGCATTTTTGAGATTCTTTTGGTGACACCATTTCTCACATGCGGTGAAAGCTGCTGACTCAAATATATCAAATACCTACTGCTTCGCAAAGTCTCCCTTTCATCTGCCGGCATACAGCTCCGGTAGCACAACGCGGCTGCACCAACCCTAATCTTACTCCAACATCGGGAGGACCTTGAATTCCTCGCGATGACATAAGCCACTTCTATCTGAGGGGAAAAAAACATGTGACCATAGATTGCGCCGCGGCGGAACGCGGTTCAGAATGCATTGTGGTAGGAAAAATATGGTACATCTCAAAACGTTTGGCCGCGAGGGCCCTATACCAGTTTCGAGAAACTGTAGCAAAAAGGTTCAGCTCGCCGTCTTACTCTGCTCAGCCGTGTACGTTGTCTCACGCCAGCTTGTGCTAATTGCGGCATTCCATTCTTCCGCCGCGCTTCCGTTCGCTTTAACTCGTATCGTCCACCTGAGCTCTGCAAGCTCTTAAGTCAGTACCGTAATCCGAGACATTACCGGGGCCGGCTTCGGGGTGGCGATAGGACCTCGAAGTGGGACCCGGCCTTCGGGCCTGGGCCGCTGATGGCGTGAGGGTGCCGCATTCCAGAGTTTGGCGCTTTGATCACCCCGGAATGTGAGATCTGCTTCACTACTTTAGCACCAAGCAGTGTCCGGTCGTTCGGTTTTTTGCGATATCGACCGCATCGCCTCGTAGTCAAGCTCGCCGTTGCCTTGCACCTACAACGGGGAGTCGCGAGTAACAGCTGCTAGACTCACAGGAGGCAGGAGACAGATACAGGCACCTTGTCTTACGGAAAACTTGACGCGGGACATGAGAAGGTTGTTTCGAAATGCATTCCTTCTAGGCTCGAAGACCTCAACAGAGTGCTAGTATCCGAGAATGCCATGCATGATTATCATCTAGGTGACTTACAACAGTGGTCACCACCCAGTGTCGAAGTCCACATCTGTCGGTGCGTAAATACTGTTCTCAATCGCGTCGGCGGCATGTACTTGTTCTAGCTCTCGTGTCATCCTCGTTCGTGCGGACAGCGCTAGGGTAGGGTAGCTGAAAGGGGGCATATTCGCCCCCTGTGTTCTCTTAACCTGGTGTTTGGATCAACTCAAGACGTTTTGGCAAGAAGGCGGCCATTCTTCTGGCGTGAATATACGTTTATTGCATCTTTTTCGATGAAGCTCTGGGGTGTTATCTGCACAAGGGATTCGTAGTGAGATTCGAGTCCAAAGTTGTGTGAGTGACGTATATTGGAGACTTGAGCTTCAAAGTGATTAGTCTTTCCCAGTTACGGGGCGATTTTGAGCCTCTCTTAGGGAGCTTCAAACGGGTGTTAAGTTTGTGTTTACGAGGCCATGGACTAGACAGACCTTTCGAGACTATGTGCCTCTTTTTAGCGGCACAGAAAGTATGCGTAAGGACGTACCTACCCGCGTAGTTCTTGGTTACTCATTCTGCCGTCTGAGGACGTCTTTCCAACCAAGATCTTTCACCTATCACAAGCTGCTGTCATATACCGAGTGAGGTGTTTGGGGCTCGCCTAGAAAATCCATCCTAGAACTCTGGTCGGACAGATCTCATGATGGATTTGGTGGTAAATATTCCGATACTCATCTTGGAGGTGGATGGCCTGAAAAGGAGGAAAGCTTAGGAAGCTGGTGGACACGATGTAGAGACTGCAGTGAAAGTTATAAGGCGAACATGGGGTGACGAGAGATACTTGCACACAAAAATAACAGACGCCGCACATAGTCTCGAAGTACTCGGATTGCCGTAAGCGAGAGCAAGTCGATCAAACCTACCTTACACAAGGTCACATACCAGTGCAAGCCCACTGGTGGATCACTGCCGCTCACAGAACAGGTCCCACGTGAAAGGTTCCCTCGCCAATCTGCAGGTCATCTGACAGCTTCCTACTTTGACCCTTGGACTTAAGTCGGTTCGAGACATCTCGGCGGCAAAGTCGAGGTGCCAAGAGAAGCAGGGGCTGCGGTTCGCTCCTGCTTTTGTTGGGACGCTTTGAGGTTGTCTACATGTATGATTTGAAGTCAGCAGTTTGGGGAGGTATAGTATAGAAGGACATTATAGGATAAGGAAAGACGGTGTTCGTGTGTTAGCACCAGAAAAGAACTTCACGTTATTGCCCTAGTGACAACTTTGAAACATTGTCAGATGTCCATAGGTCTCCAATATCCAACAAGACATCTAGTTCCTACCACCTTCCAACTCACAACGCCAATGCATGTTATGCCTTTCACAACACATGTCACATCCAGACTTTTCTCACAGCTCCATCTTGTGAATGATTTCCTTGATAACTTCCAAGGGTATGTCCACAACTATAGCCTTCTTCCAAGTCAAGTCCCAAGATACTACTGTCCACGAATATTGCCCACCAAGGACAACTGAAAAACTAGAGTACATAAATCAACCGTTTAAAAGTCACGAGAACTTCGGGGTCAAAGTATTCCCCATAGTCCGATGGCTTTGAACTCTCTCTTCGGTTCGGCCCAAGCTCGGGGCCGACTGGGAACCTAGCCGGGGAGGATCGAGCCCGTCATGCACACCCATATTTAGGCGCAAACATGTATGTATAATAACTTTTGGTAATTCCGTCTGAAGAATTGAAAAGCCATCATAAGTGAAGGGATGACGTGCGCGGGAATTTCATAGGATCAAAAGTATCATGAGTCCGCAGGAGGAGGAGGTGTGCATGCGTGCGTATGCCAGTGAAGGAGCCGCAGCTGAAACTCCCTTTGGAAGACAGTCAGCTAGAAGCAATGATGAGAGCTAAGGTTCCATGTGTGAATCATTCATCTATAAGAAAAAGAGAGAAGAGAGAATTTGAGTCGTTGCGTTGTGGTCTTATGGTGTAATTGTAGCAACTTACAAAACCGAACGGGATAAGATCGTGAAGAGCATCAACCACCAGTACAAGTCATTTGGACTTAGTCCCTTGATTTTATACGAGTGAATGAGACCACATGAGTAACACATTTCATTCTTTCATGTCGTCTCCGAGTACCTGGACGTACGATTCCGCCACTCCGGATACATCGAATGCAAGACAGGCCATGCGCCGGAGCAATCAAACCACGCCAACGTGAGCGCTTTGTCCGCGAAACCAACAACTCAGCCACCTCCGCATCTGCCATCTTCAAAACATGCAGCAGCTGCAAGATTTGTTTCCTCAAACTCTGCTAAGAGAGGGAACGAACAGGCAAGAATAAAAAGCCCTCTCTGCTTGGCGTTTGGGACGAGGTCCATGAGTTCCTACGAGTCCCATGAATCCCATTGCGGAGTAGGGCAACATGAGCCTGCCGAAAGCGACGGGACAGCGCAAGTAGTCAGCCCACTCACAGACTACCTCACGTTCACCCAAAGCTCACGATCGCCAAGGACGCAGACCAAGCCCGGGGGAAACGGCAACGTGTCTGGGGCTGGAGCTCTTGCGACCGGGCCAAGGCTCATGTTTCCACCGTGGTCGAAGGTTCGCCTCTACCGTTGGAGCCTCCGCCATGTGTGTGGCTTGTACGCTCAACTTTCCGTGTCTGCTTCGTCACCTCTTCAGAGTATGTCTTGTACGTGTACGTAGTGTACAGTGTGTTCTCCCTGACGTAGACTATGTGAGCTTCAACCTTTCAACCTGCACGATTCGGTCTTGTCCGTTTCCATGAACGCTACTTAGGGCTGAGAAAGCTTGTGAGGGCGTTTGCGCCGGGGTCTTGTCGTCCGTGAATCTGGACCAGGTCGATGGGTGGCGGTGGTTGTGATTTGCTTGTCTAGTTCTGCAACTCTATATAGCTGACCCTTGTGGCATTCAGGGAAGGGCCAAGGACACTAAATTTCTTGTCTTGTTTTGAATTACTCTTACTATACCCATATCAGTATTTTGTTCTTGCGAGGGAAGCAACATGTGCGGAATTACGGCAGCTATCACACTCCAGCGGAGCGATTCCGCCAGCAGGGACAGGGACAGCATCGGAACGAACGGAACCAAGAGCAAGGCAAAGAAGATCTCGGAGCATGGTACCTTGCGTCAACAGTTTCAACAGAGTCTTGAGGCCATCGCTCACCGCGGCCCGGACGCCTCTGGTGTCTGGATCAGTGATGATGCCACAGTCGGTATGAAACCCCCCTAACAAACATGCTTTGGGAACTGTCCAACTTATCGTGTGATGCTAGGTCTTGGCCACTGCCGGCTAGCAATCAACGACCTCTCTCCAGACGGAGAGCAGCCATTACACAGTGACGATGGCAAGATCCACGCCGTGGTAAACGGAGAAATCTATGATCACGACGCCATCAGAGAGAGATGTATCAAAGAGCACAACTACCGCTTCAAGGGCCACTGCGACAGCGAGGTCCTCGTCGCCCTGTACAAGATCTACGGCGCCCCCGGCTTCTTCAAGCACCTCCGCGGCGAGTTCTCCTTTGTCATCTACGACGAGAACAAGGACCGGGTCATCGTGGCCAGGGACCGTTTCGGTATCAAGCCGATGTTTTGGACTGTACAGGACCAGGGCAACGGTGCGAGTAAGCGGATGCTATTAGCCTCGGAGATGAAGGGATTCCGAGCTTTTGGCTGGGAGCCGGAGTGGAATGTCTACGGGTTGCTCAGTGGATCTTCGATGCAAGCCGACTGCACCGTGTTCAAGGACGTTCGCAAGCTGGAGCCCGGAAACTGGATGGAGATTAGAGATGGCGAGATCAAGCATCGCCAGTACTGGGATCCCGAGTTTAAGGACAAGG